TCTCACGAGTCTAACCATACCAAAAGTATTCAAATCCAATGTCAAATACCTAGTCAAAACTCGAATTCTAGGTCTAAGAATTTTCTTCTAATTTTTCCCCAATTTTCATCTCCAATCCGAAATTAAATGACAAAACTAACAATAGATTAATGGAATTCAGCTAGGAAGGGTTAAGGAATTGTTACCCAATGATTTACTCTTCATATTCCTCCCAATCACCCTCTCCCGAGCTCCAAATCAATTTCTAACTTTTTGAAACTAAACCCTCGAATTCTGATTTTTCTGCCCAACAAAGTTGCATCTGCGGCTCAATTTTCGCATATGCGATACCACTTCTGCGGTCAAGGGAACCGCTTCTGCGGTTCTCACTTAAAATTCCCTCTCCGCACCTGTAACCCATATGCCGCATCTGCGGTCCCGCAGGTGCGGTAACACGTCCGCTTCTGCGGTTCCTGGTCACTTTCCTCTTGGCCGCTTCTGCGGCTTGACTCCGCATCTGCGGGAGTCGCATCGGCGGCCTCTCAACCGCAAATGTGGTTATGAGAGCAGCCCAAAGACTTCAGCTGCAAACTCCAACTTTCCAACTTCCCGTTAACCACCCGAAATCATCCCGAAGCCCCCGGGACCTTAACCAAAAGCACAGATAAGTCATATACCACTATCCAAACTTATACAAATCTCCACAACACCTCAAACAACATCGAATCAACCAATTAGCATCGGATTCAAGCCTAAGAACTTCAAAAACTCTCAAAATACGCTTTCGATCAAAAAGTCTATCAAACCTCGTCCGAATGACCTAACATTTTGCACACACGTCACATTCAACACTACGGAGCTACTCCAACTTTCAGAATTCCATCCTGACCCTCGAATCAAAATCTCACTATCGAACCGGAAACTTCAAAAATTTAACTTTCGGCATTTCAAGCCTAAATGAGCTACAGACCTCCAAAACACAATCCGAACACACTCCTAAACCCGAAATCACCCAACAGAGCTAATGGAACCATCAGAATTCCATTCTGAGGCCGTCTTCACATTGCTCCGACTACAGTCCAAATTCTAAAACTTAAACTCTCATTTAGGGGCTAAGCGTCCCAAAACTCTCCGAATTTCCAAATAAATCTTCCCTTGCAACTCACAATAGCAGAAACAAACACGGGGAATGCAGTTAATAGGGGATCGGGGCATTAATTATTAAAACGACCGGCCGGATCGTTACATTGAGAGATACATTTGAAGATGCAAAGTTACCTCTTTCCTTTTATGAGGCCAAAAAAACCATTAGCAAACTTGGCCTTGACTATACCAAAATATTTGCATGTCCAAATAATTGTATGCTATACTGGGAAGGTGATTCAGAATTGGATGCATGTAAGCATTGTGGTACATCTAAATGGAATCCTAACAAGAAAAAAAAAAGCAAGCTGCAAAGGTTTTGAATTATTTTCCACTGAAATCAAGGTTGCAACAATTATTTATGTGTTGTAAGACTGCTGAACATATGAGATGGCATGCTTCAGGCAATAATGTTGATGGGTTGATGAGGCATCCAAGGGATGGTGAGGCATGGAAGACATTTGATCGGATTCATTCTGGATTTGCTTCGGATCCTCGAACGTGCGCTTAGGCCTTGCTAGTGATGGTTTCAGTCCTTTTGGAATAATGAGTACTACCTATAGTATTTGGCCAGTCTTCTTGATTCCATTTAATGTTCCTCTTTGGGTGTGTATGAAGCACACCTCTGTCATCTTATCAATGATCATTCCAGGCAAGCATATGCTTGGAAATAATATAGGTGTGTACTTACAACCCCTCGTGAAGGAATTACGTGAGTTATGGAATGATGGTGTTGAAATATTTGACTCATCATTGAAAGAAAATTTTAGAATGCATGCAACTCTTATATGGACAATCAGTGACTTTCCTGGATTAGGTATCCTATCCGGCTGGAACACACATACTGATTTTGCTTGCCCAATTTGTAACTTTGACACAGAACCTTGTTGTCTTCATCATAGTAAAAAGTGGTGCTTTATGGGTCATTGACGTTTTCTGAGAAGAAATCACAGGTTTAGGTTGAATCGAGTACGCTTTAATGGAAGTACAGAGGAGCGGAATCCACCATTAAAATTATCATGGTCTGCAATTTTGAGACAAATCGAAGAAGGGAGAGGAGCAGGGTTGAATAGTACAAGGAAAAGATCTAGACGAGCAACTAAGCAATGGAACAAGAGAAGTATATTTTTTGAATTTCCTTATTGGAAATTTAATTTGTTGCGTCATAATCTAGACTTTACGCATATTGAAAAAAATATATGTTACAATATCATATATGCGCTGGTGCATGATAAATCAAAATCAAAAGATAATATTAATGCCTGAAAGGATCTAAGAGAAATGGGCATAAGGCTTGGTCTTTGGCCGGATGATAGTGGAAAATATTACCTTGCTGTGTTTTCACTTATGACCGATAACAAAAAGAAGCTGGACACTAAAAAGTTGTTCCTTACAACTTTGAAGAATATTAAAGTACCAGCTGGCTACTCAAGTTACATTTCCGGCTATGTTGATTTGGTATAGAAAAAGATTTTTGGGCTAAAAAGTCATGATTGCCATATTATTTTAGAGCAATTGCTACCATTGGCGATCCACAATGTGTTGCCCGACCATGTAGTTGTAGTTTTGGTGGAATTCTGCTCATTTTTTAGATCCCTTTCTAGAAAAACCTTGAATGTTTCAGAGCTTGATAAGCTCTAAGAGCGCATTGAAAGCACACTTTGCCACCTAGAGATACTATTTCCCCCATCATTCTTTACAGCAATGGTTCATTTGTTTGTCCATCTAGCAGAAGAAGCAAAACTCGAAGGTCTAATGCATCATCGAAATATGTATCCCGTCAAGAGGTAAAACATTAACATTTCTTATTTGAAGATACTTGTATTCTGGTCACTTGAAATAGTTTGTACACGTATGGATTATTATTTTTGTATGAAATTGGGCCATTTTAAGTCCTTTGTACGGAATAAAGCACAACCAGAGGGTTATATAGCTGAGGGTTACTTAGCTGAAGAGTCTCTTACCTTTTGTTCTCGATATATTAAGGATATTGAGACAAGATTCAATAGACCTAAGCATGTTCGTGATGATCCAAATGTCACTGAGCCTTCTAGAACGTCCTCTATATTTCCTCAATTAGGTAAACCCGCATCAGCTTTGATTACATTCCCTTTAACTGATATCAGAAACTACAAGCTCATCGATATGTGCTTCTGAATTGTGCAATAGTCACGCCATTTGTGGAGTGAGTAACTCATACAAACTTTATATTCTTTATCATTGTAATGTTTGAGCGGGCTAGTCTTGTTCTTTAACATTAATGTAATTATTTCACATAGCGAATTTAGACCATACATAAGGAGAGATTCAAGAAGAAGACCTTCACCTACATAGATAGAGATGAGAGTTAATAAAGAGTTTGTTGATTGGTTCCAAAAATGGCTGAGTAAGTAATCATTAGTTATTGTTTACATTTGGTTTGAATGAACAAACTTCACTAAGACAATTTTATTTTGATTTAGATTATGAATCCAGACACAATAAATACAATGTCTATTAATCTAAAGTTTGTCGCACGAGGTCCATCGGTAATTGCAAGAAGTTTTACTGCATATAACGTCAATGGGTCAAAATTTTGAACTTTGGCTCAAGAAGAAGGTCTGAGAACACAGAATAGTGGAGTTTTCTTAACCTCTAAAACATCATGTGTTGCAAGTAGTATTGATGGAAATTTAAGGCAAGCAGAGTTACCATATTATGGGAAGTTAGAAGATATTCTAGAGATTAATTATTATGGTCGATTCAAGGTTATTCTTTTTAAATGTAAATGGGCTGATACTGCTCGAGATAGAGGGTATAAAAAGGATCGTTGGAACTTAAGTTGTGTTAATTTTGATAGATTGATTCATATAGGTGCACGTGAAGAACATGAGCCTTACATCGAAGCATCTCAAGCACAAATGGTGTACTATGTGGATGATGTTGTCAATAAAGGGTGGAGTGTTGCTATGCATCTAAAGGCAAGAGATCTATATGATATGGGAGAAGAAGTAGTGGAAGATGAAGTATATGAGAATTAACCATACCAAGAGCACAATTAGCTACGAACCATATAATTGATGATGTAGTAGAGACAATTGTTGCTACTAACTTAGCAGCAAATACATACATGTTTGAATAGAAAATTTATTTAATATGTTGCTTTAGTTGAAGGTAATAGTATTGCATAACTAAGTAGTGTTTATTTTACTTATTTGATGTATAAGTATGTTTAGAAATGGTATTCATACTTGGTTTGAAGGAATATTTAAAAATGGTATTCATATTTTGGAAATAGCTTCTTGCTGAAATGTAGGGTAAGGCTGCATAAAATAGACCCTTGTGGTCCGGCCCTTTCCAGGACCCCGCGCATGGCGGGAACTTAGTGCACCGGGCTGCCCTTTTATATTTGATTCACCTTTTTTTATTTGATTCACCTCTTTTTAATCCGTGGTATTCGTATTTGTTTGCCATAAGAGGATCTTTTGGAAAAAAGATGAAGGTATTGGAAAAACTGAGAAAGAGTAAAGAGGACAAAAAAGAATAGTTGGAAAAACAAACGAGGCTGAGGTTTGACTGTAGTTCATACTGGAATATGTGATTTGCATGGTGCAAGGTGCCTTTGTGCTTTGTCGCCTGTTTGAGAAGAATGATTTGAAGCAGGATGAGCATATTGACAATTCCAATTTAGATAATGTTGAACTGAATGCTACAATTGCTGATTTGGATTGTTGCAGAGGCTTTCTACCTATGTGCGGATGATGCTCTCAACACAAGTAAGAGAACATCAGTATTAGTGTGAGTTACTTATGATATGAAAGGCTAATTTACCTGCTCGAACAAATATAGACTCTTCTAAGGGCTATGGGTATTGGTGAGAAATTCGCTACTGTTATTGAGGCAACGTTTCAGGTGAGTTCACATCTTTTTTTCCATTGTAATTTACGTTTTAAACTAGTGTGATGACAATGGTTTTAAAAAATTTCAGTGGTTCTTGCGAGATTTAACTGGTATGGTTGGAGGCGTCTTGTTCACATGTTACCAGGTTTCTTTCATTTTCTAGCTTAATTTTTGTGAAGGAATTAGACAAATGCCTAATTGTGCACTAAGTCTTAATATGTTTCTTAGTTGCGTTAGTTAGTGTATTGTAATTAGTTATTAGTTAATTACGTTGATAGTGGAAGTTAGTTAGACAGCTGGCAACAGCTGGCAAGTAGTTGTAACTTGTATATATAGGAGTAGCTAGCTAATTCACTTCATTATTTCATTGTTAATATACAGATAATTCTCCAAACTTCTACATGTGTTTTCTTCCTTCATCTCTGCTTTGCTTTGCTTCAATGCCGATCAGGAATTTAATAAGTTTCTTCATAGTATCAAAGCGAGGTCTCGTCGGTAAGGTCTAAGGATTGTTCTTCGCGTATTGAAGACGATCGAGAGATTCATCGACATTTTCTCTAAGAAAACGATTCCTGATCTATATTGTAGCAAACCCTAAATTCACTTGTCAATTCTATTTTTTGATTAATGATTCTTCACCGCATCTACGTGATCACTGAATTTGTTGTGTATAACCATGGCGATTGAGGATGTATCTGATTTAGGAACCTCTGTTCCAGCTCCGGTGGTGATCGATCATAATCATCCCCTGTATCTTCATCCTTCTAACGCCCCTGGGTCCTTATATGTTGGTATTCAACTCATAGGTATGGAAAATTATACTTTGTAGGATTGAGCAATGAGAGTTGCACTCCTAGGAAGAAATAAACTTGGTTTTATTAATGGTACAATAACTGGGGATACTTTTATACCAGCTTTAGGGCATCAGTGGGATAAGTGTAATGCAATAGTAGTTTTGTGGCTAGCTGAAAATGTGAGCAAAAATTTGCTAAGTGGAATTCTATTTCGTTCCAATGCACACTTGGTTTGGAAGGAATTGTAGGAGAGGTTCAATAAAGTGAATAGATCATGTTTGTACTCTCTTCAAGGAGATCTTTACTTTGACTCAAGGAACATCATTTGTGCAGTGTACTATTCAAGGTTGAAGGATTTATGGGATGAGTATGATTCAATGATGCCACCTCCTTCATGTGACTGCGAGAAATCAAAGGATTTTGCAGTGCACTTGCAATATCAGCACCTATTACAATTTTTAATNACCATGGAATCAGCTGCATTGTTTACAACCAGAAACAATGTACCTAAGCAGAAGAGAAATTGGAGTGTAGAATGTGACTACTATCATGGAAAAGGCCACACAAGGGATGGTTGCTTCAAGTTGATGCATGGTGGTTACTGCAACAAGAGGGATCATCTTAAGGAAAATTGCTACAAACTGATTGGGTATCCTGCAGGTTTCAAGTCCAAGGCCAGAGCTAATGTGGTTGATGGGCATTCTCTGCAATCTGAGACTAGTGAAACTAATCAAGGAAATATCAATTCATCCAACACTACTGCACCAATGATCACACAGGAGCAATACAATGTGCTACTTAGCATGCTCAGTAAGGCTTCCACATCTGAAACAAGTGCAAATATGGCAGGTAAGTGTTTCCTTGTTAAAGATAATGCAGTATATTGGATATTAGACACAGGAGCTACAAATCATATGACAGGAAATGAACATTTTTTGTTGGATGATGGTAAAGTAGGAAGTGCTGGAAATGTGCAAATGCCTATAGGAGAGTCTGCTAAAGTAACAAAAATAGGAAACAGTCCTTTGGCAGGAGGTGATATCCTTAAGGATGTGCTTTGTGTGCCAAGTTTTAAATTCAATCTATTATCAGTATCCAAATTGACCAAGGAACTGAATTGTTGTGCAATGTTCTTTCCTGAACACTTTATATTTCAGGATCTTTGCACTGGGAAAGTGAAGGCGACTGGTAGTAGAGAAGATGACTTGTATGTACTGAGAACACACCATAAGGAAGCTGGAATAAATGGAGCAAAGGCTATGGCAGCAAAGCAAATGATGGAACCTGAGATTTGACACAGGAGATTAGGCCATGTGCCTATGGCAGTCATTAGAAAGATTTCTGGTTTTAGGAATAAAGATGTTTTTTAATTACAGCATTGTGATGTGTGTCCCTTGTCTAGGCAAACAAGATTACCATTCTCTGTTAGTACTAGTAGAGCAGATGAATCCTCTAATTTGATACACATGGATATATGGGGCCCTTATAAGGTTCCAACCTATAATGGAATGAATTACTTTTTGACATTAATAGATGATCACACAAGATGGACATGGATTTTCTTAGTGAGAGTGAAATCAGATGTGTCTGAGTTACTTAAAACATTCATTGCAATGATTCTCAACCAATTTGGAAAGATGATTAAAGTGTTTAGGTCAAATAATGGATCTGAGTTTTTTAACATGTCTTGCAAGGAATTATTTGCACATCATGGGATTTTGCACCAGAGTTCTTGTCCTTACACTCCCCAACAGAATTGAGTGGTGGAGAGGAAACATAGGCACATCCTAGAAACAACAAGAGAAATTAGGTTCCAATCTAATTTGTCAATTCGATTATGGGGTACATGTATAGAAGCAGCAACATATATAATAAACCAGGCGCCATTTACCATCTTGAAAGGTAGATCACCTTTTGAAGTGTTGTACAACAGGCCACCCTCTTTGGCTCACATGACGGTGATGGTTGTCTTTGATGCAACTATTTTGCCAAAACAGGATAAGTTTGGTCCAAGAGCAGTGAAATCAATTTTGCTAGGATATAGTGTTCATCAGAAAGGATACAAGTTATTTGATTTATCTAATAAAGTGTGCTTTATTAGTAGAGATGTTATATTTCATGAAAGCATATTTCCTTTCCAGGATAATCATAAAAACCAAAACCCCCAAGGTGCTAACATTACAAAATTGCAAAGATTTTGTGTAGTGGATGATTTAGACATTGCAAGTAGGAACATTCTGTCTGATCAAGATGTTGCAGATCTCACTTTACAGCAGCTTCCAGGTGCACCAGGAGATCTTGATCAAGAAAATCATGAATCTCAGGACCTTTATGAAGATGTGACAGACTTTGTTGAAGACATAGAAGCAGTAGAAGAGACTCAAACAGCAGAATTGATTGAAAAAAGATCAGGAAGAACAATTAAGCCTCCTATTTGGCTTAAAGACTATGTGAGGACTGACAAAAAATCAGGAGCACATGCTTGTTTATACCCTATCTCTGATGTCATCAGTTATGACTTCCTGTCTTCCAAGTATCAAAGCTTCATCACCAAGTTCTCTGCAGACACTGAGCCTACAAGCTATACAGAAGCAGTTAAGGATGCAAGATGGATAGAAGCAATGCAGACAAAGACCAAGGCATTGCAAGACAATAAAACATAGACAGTGATGCCTTTGCCACCAGGGAAGAAGGCCATTGGTTGTCGATGGTTATACAAGATCAAATATAAAGCTACAGGTGAAGTGGAAAGGTTTAAGAAAAGGTTGGTTGCCAAAGGGTATAGCAAAAGAGAGGGACTTGATTATCAGGAAACATTCTCCCCTATTGTCAAGATGGTAACAGTGAGGACAGTTATTTCATTGGCAACAATGAATAATTGGACATTCATCAAATGAATGTCGACAATGCATTTTTGCAAGGTGATCTAACTGAAGAAGTATATATGGAATTACGACAAGGGTTTACTTGTGAGGGACAGCATCAAGTTTGTCGACTTCTCAAATTATTGTATGGGCTTAAGCAAGCTTCTAGACAATGGAACATCAAGCTAACCTCTGCATTGACAGCTGGGTTATGTCAGAGTCACTTGGACTATTCCTTGTTCACCAGAAAAGTTCAAGGCAAAATAGTAGTGATCTTAGTTTATGTTGATGACCTACTAATTACAGGAGATGATGCTGCCTTAATACAGAAGACTAAGGAATACTTGCAGCAAGTTTTTAATATCAAGGACCTAGGGGAGCTAAAGTTTTTCTTAGGGATTGAATTTGCTAGAAGCAAAGAGGGAATTCTAATGCATCAAAGAAAATATGCATTAGAGCTCATTTCAGATATGGGACTCTCAGGTTCAAAACCAATAAGTGCACCTTTGGAGGTCAACAAGAAGCTTACATCATTGGAGTTTGACACTCAGTTTGGTATTGAAGATGATAAAGTTCTTGATGATCCTAGTGCATATCAACGATTGATTGAAAGACTTCTCTACCTCACCATGACTAGACCAGAAATTGCATTTGTTGTGCAATGCTTGAGCCAGTTCATGCATTGTCCTAAGACATAACATATGGAGGTTGCCATCAAGGTGATCAAGTATGTCAAGAAATCTCCAGGAATGGGAATATTAATGTTAGCAGATGATTCCTCTCAACTCACAGCCTTTTGTGATGCTGATTGGGCCTCTTGCCCCAACACCAGGCAATCAGTCACTAGGTATTTGATTAAGTTTGGGAGCTCTTTGATCTCATGGAAGTCGAAGAAACAAACAACCATATCCAGAAGCTCAGTTGAGGCTGAGTATTGAAGTTTGGCATCAACGGTTGCAGAAATAGTTTGGGTGACTGGTTTGTTTGAAGAATTGGGGGTGCATATTCAGAAGCATATGTCCATGCTATGTGACAGTAAGTCTGCGATTCAAATAGCTGCTAATCCAGTATTTCACGAGCGAACAAAGCATATTAATATAGAATGTCACTTCATTCACGAGAAGGTGCAACTTGAGCTTGTTCATCTTTTACATCTTCCTTCTTTAGAACAATAGGCAGATATTCTTACTAAGGGTTTGAGTGTCACTCAACATCATTATTTGCTGTCCAAGCTAGGCATGAAGAACATCTTCATGGCTCGTAGCTTGAGGGGGGGTGTGAAGGAATTAGACAAATGCCTAACTGTGCACTAAGGCTTAATCCGTTTCTTAGTTGCGTTAGTTAGTGTAGTGTAGTTAGTTATTAGTTAATTATGTTGACAGTGGAAGTTAGTTAGACAGCTTGCAAGTAGTTGTAACTTGTATATATATGAGTAGCTAGCTAATTCACTTCACTATTCCATTGATAATATACAGAAATTCTCCAAACCTCTGCATGTGTTTTCTTCCTTCATCTCTGCTTTGCTCTGCTTCAATGTCGATCAAGAATTCAATGAGTTTCTTCAATTTTCCGGTATCGTATTGATCCTATTTTGTCAAACGATGCATGCCTTGATTCTTTATAAAGACTGAAGCTACAGAAGCACCTCTGTCCTTCGAGGATAAATGATTTCCCATCAGACTTACATTGATGCCAGTTTCCGTTTCCACTTGAAACTATATGCCGGACAAATGTTCCTTTTCCATAAAGAAAAGGAAATTATGATCTCTTTTCTATAATAAAGTTACCATGGAAGCATATATGGGGCAAAATATAACATTCTTTGGGACAGTGATATTTTTGACCTGCCTCCTACTACTAGCCTCCTGTTAATGATTTTTTAATCATAAGTACTTGTTGGAAAGTGACTGTTGCTTTTGCTTTCTTTTCTAGGGTTCTAATTTAGACAGTAATGCCAAAATGTGGCGTTTAGTGGCAGATCTCATGAATGATCTCGGCATGCCCTTTCACCTGTATGTTGTGTGCACTATAGTCGTTTTTGCCCTTTGTATCGAAATTATATAAAAAAGAACTTTCTTTTTCAGTCTTTTGACTGGCCAGTGGCCGGAGTTTAAGATGTTCTTTGACTTGCACTTGGTTTTCGTGACCGTAGAAAAGATAGTTTGATAGCGAAGATCACATCAAAGTTTATTTGAACAGTCTTACGAATTTGAAAGCTAAAAGTTGTATATAAATTCGATTGTCAAACATTTTGAGACATTCTGAAAAGGAAAGAGTGTTATATAAATTGAGTCGGAGGAGGTATATTATTGTTTGTAATTTTAAATGATTTATTAAGTTGTAGAAATGCAACAAAATATAATTTCATTATTATGAAAAACATTTTCTAGAAGGTTAAATAATGACATTGATTTGTGCTTTTGTTGTCATTCCTGAAACGGATGCAATGACAATAATATTTCTTGCAGGAATGTTGATTGATCTTGTCTTGTGTCTCCTTTATTTCCGTCGGCCTTTGTGTTCATTGTCTGTTTAGGGAGTTTATCAAGGTCATTGATCAGTAAGTGAAATATTGCTCTTAGTTGCAATGTCATTCTCTTATCTTAGCTTCTAAATAAAGTGTAAAGTTCTTGTCTGGTTGTGTCTAGTATTCAACTTGTTTGTTATATGGAGGTTTCACACCTTGGTTCCAGTTCTCTTTCCAAAGCAGGTCTCCTCCATGGAGCATGTTCTACCTTCACGGCTGACCTCGTGGTCCGTGGACCTCAAAACACACTAATTCTCTATACAAGCAAGTACATTTAGGTGTCACAGTTTTTTCATTTGACAGCCTTGCTATGTTAGATTTTCACCTTTGTTATTACTAATTCGCACCCATATCTCTTGCTCGTGGTATTGGCTTAAGATTACAGAATCTTAAGCCAAATTATATAGCACCAGCTCCTCTGCTTTGGCCTATCACAGTTACAGGCCAGTAGTCCTATTATTCTGCATATAGAATAGTTTTTGATGTTTGGTAATTATGTAAAAGCTCAAACTTTTAATGCATACATTTTTACTATCCTAGATGGTTGGTGACCATATCATATATCATTGCTCATGATAAAAAGTTTATTTAGTCCCATGAGGATTTGAATTTCTAATGTTTGTCATTATGGTGATTATTTATGAAATTTGATTTATGTTGTAAGTTATTTGATAAAATTATTTCTTTAATCCTACAAATAAAAAGATATTCAAATAGAAAAAGAGTTTTCAGCAACAAAAATATTGTGGCAAAAATAAACTGCCACTATTTTTATAAAACACTAATATTATATTGTAGCTGTTATACACCCCCACATAAATTTTTTTTTTAAATATTTAGATCATATTTGGGGGGTTTATATACCCCCACATAACCTTTTTTTATAAATATTTAGATCATATTTTCGGGGTTCATAAACCCCCACAGTATTATTTTTTGGAACCATTACGATCATATTGAGGGGGTTTATAAACCCTCGCAGTTTTTTTTTGACACATCGAAATCATATTGCTGGGGTTTTAAACTAGCACTAATTATCTTTCAAAATCCCCACAAATTAAAAATTTATTCTGTGGCGTTTGTCATGGAGGTTTTAAAAACCCGCCGCAATAATGCTCGTGGCAAAGGTAACTGTGGCACTTCTAGAAACAACCACAATTCTTTTAGTGGGGGTCAAAAATGTCACAATTTGACCAAAAAACCCCTACAAAGTAAGTGTATGTAATTTGAAACACGTTAGTATATAATTTCTAATGTTTGTTAGTAGACCAATATTCTAATTCCTCTCTTGTAGACTAAACGGGGCTGTAACTAACTAACCACCATAGTTATCTAAATTAATCAGTGACCCTAACGACCATTCATACTGATCATTGACTTCCACCAAATCTACTTTCCAGATGTGGATTGACTCATTATGAATTTGTCAGGAAAATACTTTCCAAATGCTAGTGTTCTTCCCATTATCTTAACTCCAAAATTTTGTAAAACTCTTTGAACCTTTCTTTAAACTACCACAAATTTTCTTATCCTTTCCTATCTCACCATTATAAATAGCCATGCACATGCAAACCAAAGGTACACACTAAACAGTCTTCATTCTTCATATTACTGATAACTCGAAAAAAAACACTTCAAACTTTGCCAAAATGGTTCATGAAAAGCAAGTGATAGAGGAAGTATCCGGCTGGCTTAGAGTTTTCGAAGACAGTTCAGTAGACCGGACTTGGACCGGTCCACCCGAAGTCAAATTCATGGCCGAGCCAGTCCCACCGCATGAGGACTTCATCGACGGCGTTGCCGTCAAAGATGTAGTCGCCGACGAAAAATTCGGCAGCCGTCTCCGCATCTACTTACCTGAACGAAACGACAATTCCGTCAACAAGCTTCCCGTCATTCTTCACTTCCACGGCGGCGGCTTTTGTATCAGCCAAACCGATTGGTTAATGTACTACACTGTCTACACGCGCCTAGCGCGCGTGGCCAACGCAATCATTGTCTCCGTCTTCCTCCCCCTCGCGCCGGAGCACCGCCTCCCTGCCGCCTGCGATGACGGTTTCACCGCCCTCCTCTGGCTCCGGGACCTCTCCCGGCAGCAAGGACACGAGCCCTGGCTCAACGATTACGCAGATTTCAACCGAGTATTCCTCATCGGAGACAGCTCCGGCGGGAATATAGTCCACCAAGTCGCCGTCAGAGCCGGCGAGGAAAACTTATCTCCAATGCGACTAGCCGGCGCAATTCCGATCCATCCAGGTTTCGTGCGGTCCTATCGGAGCAAATCGGAGCTAGAACAAGAGCAGACGCCGTTTTTAACATTAGATATGGTGGATAAATTTCTGGGGTTAGCTTTACCTGTAGGGAGCAATAAGGATCATCCAATAACATGCCCGATGGGAGATGCGGCGCCGGCGGTGAAGGAGCTTAAATTGCCGCCTTATATGTACTGTGTGGCGGAGAAAGATCTGATAAAGGATACTGAAATGGAGTTTTACGAAGCTATGAAAAAGGGGGAAAAGGATATAGAGCTGTTTATTAATAATGGAGTGGGACATAGCTTTTATCTGAACAAAATTGCTGTTGAAATGGACCCTGTAACTGCTTCTGAAACTGAAAAGCTTTTTGAAGCCGTTGCAGAGTTCATCAGCAAGCATTAAAGGAGAATACTTGTCGATTTGTTTGGTTCAAATAAGCATGGGAATTTAGGAGAATATATATTGCATGAATATTTGTTTGTTGCATGTTCAAGATTTTGATGTACCATCTATCTCAAAGTTAATTGTCACGTTCTAATGGTTTTGTAATTATAATTATAAGGAGTAAATTTTTATTGTTGCGTAGAAATGTTTTTTCTTTGGTAGTAAAAGTTTATCTGTAATACTTTAAAAAGTAGACAAATATATTTTGAGATTCTTGTAATAATATCTTAAATTTCGAACGTCAATAAGTCTGGAAGTTGAAATGTACCTGTACCGTCAATAAGTCTACTTGAGGCTTTTTTACACGATATTCGTCAACAAAAATTTTGATCGATAAGCTAGTATGAGATTCTTGTCGGTCTCGATTAGGGCAGCTATAGCAAAAATGGAGTCACATACCGGTCCTTTTAGTTGGAGCTATATATAGTGAAACGGAGAAAACTCTGCTAAGGAGTGCTTATTCCTTTAATGAATTCGATGTGATTAGGGATGGCAATGAGGCACAGAGACAGTACGGGTGCGGGCGGTATGGGTTTAGACATATGCAGGGCAGTGAGAGTTTAGATATATGCGAGTTTAGTATGGTACGGACGGTGCGGGTTGAAATAAAAGAAATTTAATTCGACTCAGTCAAGCAAGTCTTTGCAGTGTCTTTGAAGATGAGCTTAGTTATGGGAACGACAATGTGAAAGAAGTTTCTTTGAAGAGTTCGGTAATTTTACTAGAAATTCACAAGTGCGTATTACGTGGTTCCACTATAGAAATAATTGTTAGGGAAGGAAGGAAATAAACCTTGGCCCTACCACATTTACTAGTGCTAGTGATATACTCCGTTTTAGATATCACCTTTTTTTTTTTTGTGCGTGTATTGTATTGGCCTAAATTTGGTGACCTGGTAACAGCAGATAAACAAGATCGAGGACGAGGTCGACCACAGTGCAATAGTGGGAGGCCGTCCTCAGGAAGGTAATTGTCAAGGACGAATAGCTAGAATAAAGAGATAACGGCAAGACAGATTAGAAATAGGCATAAGGAATATTCCTTTGGATATTCCTTATTTTGTACTTTTTAGGGTTTCTTGGAAATACCCCTATAAGTAGGAAGAGAGAAAGAACAAAAGGGGGATCTTCACTTTCTGATAAAAACACATTGTAAAAGGTTGACTTGAGAGAATATACAAAAGTTGTCTTGTTCATTCATTATCTTATTCAAGCGCACGCTATTTGATCTTTGTTCCCAAGATCCAAAGATTCCATAATCATCTTCACTCTCTTCTTTCCACGTTGCTGTCAGGAGAAAGAACCATCCAAATCATATAATAATTGGGTTTTAGATCCTTTCCTATTACATTTATTGCCATTATCTACATTTATTGCATGTTCATGTTATCATATTTATTGGTATTCATTGAGTACAACCGTGCTATTTTAACGCTATCAAACGTCGTTCATCTTACCGATTTTCTACAATATTTTATCTAGAATTTATTATTTTTAACTAAGATTCATCCTTCATTTCATCATTAATTAGTTTAACAAAAAGGCTTAACACTTTTTGGTCAAACAATTTGGCGCCGTCTGTGGGGAGTTTTTTAGTTAAAATTTTTAGTTTTTTCTAGATCATAAAGGACAGCCACCTTTTTCTCGTCTGCACAAACTAACAATGGTAGGAAAAAGAGATGAAAGACAGAAAGCAATAATGGGTGTCATTACCAACATCTTAAACACCATCAACAAGGATGACAGAGGAGATGAGGAGAATGAGACGCCGAGTGC